GGAAAAACTTGAAAAAGAGAACCAAGATTTCTTCAAGAATTACCACTTAAGATGCGAAATAGCTCGTGAGGCAAAGATGTTCAACGTTTTGATCATGGAGCAACTACTTATGATGCTCGTGCATGGACATGTTGATATCTGTAATGCATCACGTAAGTATATAACACAGAGACTACATTCTTCTTACGGATTATTTACTGATCTATTTATGGAAATTTCGGTTATGCTTGTCTTTATGCAGCTAAACTCACGGCTTTTCTTCATGAAGACCCTGAAGGAGTCCGTCTTTTGGCGAAACTAGCCAATATATCTCGTAAAGCTCTCTAATGATGTCTCTTGAAGTATACAATACTTTTTGATAATTTGGCTTTGTTTGAAATCTCTTGCATTGCGTAGCTAACAAGACGATGTCGAGTTCTTCAAGCTCAGCATTGCCTAATACAAATGGTCCAACAGGTAAAGCCAAGACAAATTTTGGTACTATAATGATCGAAAAATCGGTTTCTCACGATTTTGACTTATACTGTCTCTCTGTTTTGTAGTGAACCAGTTGCAGATTCCTATTGAACAGCAAAATCAACTCCATCAGTATCCAGTGTCTACATCTAATCATCTTCCTTGTAACGAAAATACTCAATCCTTTCTCTCTCATTGTTTTAACCCTTTTACTTCTTAAGCATTTGTACGAATCATTCTCCAACCATTGCTACTGATCCGTATGATCAATGGTCTACATCTAATGATCCTCCTTGTAATGAAAAGACTCAAATCCTTTTTCTCTCGTTGTTTTACCCCTTTTACTTAAGCCTTTGAATGAATCTTACTCTTTTTCTTTCGCCATAGATAACAACATTGGAGCTCCAACCACTGCACCACCAGCTAGTACTCAATGGTGTACACCTTGTAAGAAAAGACTCAGCCTTTTGCTATTTATCTCTCATTTGTACATTAAAGCATTTGTATGAATCACTCTCCTTTTCTTTCCCCATAGATCCAACCGTTGCAGCAGCTACTGAACAATGGCCTACTACACATAATGATCTTGCTGGTAGAGAAAAGACTAAACCTTTCTCTCTTTATCTGTCATTGTTTTTAAACCCTTTTACATTAAAGCGTTGGTATGACTCACCCTCCGTTCTTTCCCCGAAGAATATCTTCTTGGAGGTCCAACCGTTGCAGCAGCATCTACTGATCCATGGCCTACACTAGATGATCTTGCTTGTAAAGAAAAGACTCAACCTTTTGCTCTTTAACTCTCACTGTTTTAACCCTTCTACTTAAGCATTTGACTGAATCATTCTCCTTTTCTTTCCCCATAGACATCAGAGCTCAAACCGTTGCACAAGCAGTTACCACTACGCCAGTATACCCTTCTACACTTGACTCTGGATGCTATATTGGAGATAACGGCCTAGATTTCGAGGACATATATACAGATTTTCCAGGACTACAGCTAATGCAACCAGAGAAACAGTTCCCGGAACTAAATGGACAATACCAACAGCAATTGCAGCTGCAACGCAACTTCTCACCAGAAGCGCAGCAATCACAGCAATATGGAGGAAGCAATGGACAGCAATATGGAGGAGGCACCAGCATTGACCAACAGCTATATCATAACTTTGATCCAAACCAATCGATGCAAATGTATACAAACGTTGACCAGCAACAACTGCAAGGAGTAATGCTGCATAATCATCCTGAGATACATGAGGTTGGACCAGACCAGTTTCAAGGAAATTCACAGTATCAAAGCTCTGAAACTGATGCTTTGAGCAATCTAGATAGTGGTAAGTGGCAAAACCCTTTTCCCTTTTTGTCATCTCTTATCTTTAACTTGTTTGCTGATTTTCTTCTCATTCTATCAACGCTATGGGACACTAACAGCAGCTCAAAACCAGTATAATCTCTGAAGGCAACAGCAGCGACTATGAGGTCTCTGAACGCAAGGAGGTATATAAGAATGAAACAAAACATTAGTGGATTTATTCTTTTTGTCTATTTTCTTCTCGCTCCCTAGATAAGCTCTTGGTTTTTCTTTTTTAAGAACACAAAAATGAACCTACAGGATTTTTTAGGAGATTTCTTAATAAATAGTTCTAACTTCTAATGAAAGGAAGACCAAAATCTAAAGCTAATGCACACATTGGAGCTTAAGAGAATCCATAATGAACCTTATCTATACAATCTTACGACATTCACTAGCTTAGGAACCGTTAATATCAAGATTCTCTCAGCTAATCTCATATTCACTAGAATCTGTCTGAAGCATAATGAGAAAGTGTCATTACTAAACATTCAATGGGAAACAAAAATCAACCATGGATACCTTAAACTGTGAAGGCCTCTCGAAATTCTGCTCGCTACTTCCCTTGTTGCAGAATCGGCTTGTTTCCTGTTCCTTTCATCAAGAGTTAATTAACTCATATAACTAAATCCCTTTACGTTTAAACGCAAAAAAACACATTCCTTCAACAAAATCTACACTGTAATCAAAGAAGCATGACTGAGACATGCCTCCAAAAGGTCTTTCAAACGAGAGATCTTATTTAAATTTGAGAGGATCTCCAAAAGTGATTCACTAAACTATATTGAACACAAGAACTGATGCTTATTATTGAATACAAGATCTCATTTTTCCAGCAAATCTATCATCAAAACAACATCTTTATGATTGTTAGCCCAAAACACATATATACACATCTCGAAGGTACAAAGAGATTCACAATAAAAGCATCAACAATGGGGTTATTCAGTATATATATAACGAGAACCCAAAATCGGATAATGGTCGAATCTTCTTCAGCTTCTGGATTCCCGATGAAGCAAAATCTCGAGATTTACTCACCTGAAACAACAAAGATAAGATTTTTACATTTTCTGATTTTCG